GTGCTGAATATTCCAGTTGTAACACAAATCAGTAGGTGATAGGGATTTTTCAGTTCCATTACAATCTCATGGGACCATTGTTTTACATGCGGCCTGTCATTGACTGAAATGCTAACATGTGGTGCATGGCTGTGTATTAAAATATAGTTATTGAAATACAAACAAAAAAGTTGTTACAGAGTAAAACATGTTTTTTTCATTAACTCATTCATCAGCAAGATCTAGGTGCAGATCTAATAGCTATCATAATTTCAAAGTACATGGTAGTGAGTATAAATAATATTTGCAACAACTGTAATATGGCATGCGATTTCTCTCAGGACAAGTCATAGGCACTGTTAATAGCACTGTGGTTTATTACCTATGTTCACTTACATTAAAGGAAACACTAAAGTTCAGATAAAGCAATAGAAATCAAGATAAGTTTTTCCTATGCAAATGCACAGACCTCTGAATTGTGTCTACAGACTACATGGAGGGAAGCTTCTGGGGTGGGCCCGGATTCACCACTATGGCTGGGTGGGTGGAGGAACCACAGCACAGCTCTCCTGGAAGAACAAGTCTCTTGAATAATGACCATCAGTTCTTAGTGCTTACTATGTGCTGGACTCTGTTTTAATGACCTTATGTATTAACTCATTTAAGCCTCATGACAGCCCTATGAAATAGGTACTAAAAGAATTTCGATTTGACAACTGTGGAGACTGAGGCATGGAGAAGTTAGGTAGTGAGGTTAAGGTCACGCAGCCACCAAGTAGCAGTGCAGGGATTGAAGCGTGGCCATCTAGCTCTGAGCCTCTGTGCTAGACCAGAATGCTGTGCTGCCTCTTCCTGCTGAGCGTCCCCTTGGCACACCCAGGGGCAGGGGGCTGGAGTCCCTGGGATTCACTCAGAAGGAGCGCCAATGCAGAGGGACAGAAGGGAGCAAGTATGGGGGAGTGTCAGGGGGAAGGAAGGACACTGAATAATTGAAGGGCTCCTGTCTCCTCTTCTACCTCTTCCTTGCTAACGGGGAAAGAAGTGCTCTTTGTCCGCATTGGGCTGAAGGGAACCCAGGGATGGAGCCAAGGTCTCGACCCACACCTGCTGCCCTGCTCCACTCCTTCCTCCTCCTCTTCCCCTGCCCCTCCTTCCTCTCCCCCCTCTTTTTCTTCTCCTCTTCTTTCCTCCCTTTCCCCCTCTTCTCTTCCTCCCTCTCCTCCGAGCTGCCCTTGAACTTTCTTACCCACTCAGGACACCCAACACCAGGTTGAGGATGAAGAAGGATCCTAGCAGAATGAGGGTGACAAAATAGATCCAGGGCCACTCGTTCCCGATGGCATCATTGACCTGGTCCAGACAGAAGCGTGAGGCTCATACTCTGACTTGAAAGCACAGGTCCCTTTTATTGAGTCTGCCCATCAGATTCTACCTGACCCTGGGGGACATGGAGAGAAGCCACTTGGGACCAGTGAGGTGATTTTCTTTTTTCCAGCCTGATGACCTAAGAGCTGGGCTGGAATGACCCTCTGAAGGAGGGCCTGGGCGACTGTCTACCTGGCCCAGGCAAGAACTGCCCATTTTGCTCTCCAACCAAGGGTGTCTCTCAGCTGCTTCCCCAACATTCTCTTGGATGCTACATCCAGTTGACTGCTTTACAGCTAAGATGTTTTGAAATGAACAAGCTCTGTGACACTGGACAAGTCACCTGACGTGTTTGAGCAGTATTCCCATCCATCTAATGGCAATACTGATAAATGCTCTCTCTCCTTGTAGACTTGTAACGGAGGTGAAATAACACACGTGACAGCCCTTTGACATTTTAATAATTTGTTCCCCTAACATGCATTTACAAGAAATATTTATACTAATCCTTTATATTTGCAAAGCATTTGACAGCTTTACAATTTTCCCTCCATAGACCGTGTCATACTGTGATTAAGATTTCTGGGTTGGAGCCAGATGGATTAGAGTTTAATTCTTGGCTCTGCTGTTTGCTAACCTCATAACCATAGGCAAGTGACTTAATCTCTCTGAACCTCAGTTTGCTTATCTGTAACATGGAAGCGATGCCTCATTGGAAAATAAACTAAGAAATGTAACCGAGCTCTTCCAAACACCAAATAAGTGATATACTCTCATATAGTATTGACTATATGCCAGGCACAGTTGTAATTCAGTTAATCCTCCCACTAGCGCTATGATGTAGACAGTATTATTTTATAGATAAGAAAACGAATATCGGCTCTACGCCTGTGGCTCAAGCGGCTAAGGTGCCAGCCACATACACCTAAGGTGGCGGGTTCGAATCCCCAACCCGGGCCCACCAAACAATAATGATGGCTGCAACCAAAAAATGGCCAGGTTTTGTGGC